CTGATAATCGTATTTAAAAATCGTACATCTAGAAGCTCAGGTGACGACGAAAGATGGAATAAATGCCAAAAAGAACACTGTCCGACAAATGCCCGCGTGAATATCGAACGCAATTAGACTGGATTCATCCCTTTATTATGTAAAATCAGAGATTCCACGTAAATATTGATTTGATCCGACTGTACTAATATGCATCGAGGGTTATATCGTGATTTCCGAGAATTCACAACAGAGTCTCGTGTTCAGTCCAGTCACGTAATTGAAGTTGGTGCCAGTCAAAATAGTGATCAGTGGTACACAGAGGCTGAAATCTGCATTTCTGCTAGCGTACTATCCGTGCAAACAGTGGTACGTGGCTGCTAGAACGTAACTTTGTTGAGCATTTGCATACTTTAAAGCAGTGGTTCTTAACTTCTCCTGTCTCACCGACAAAGCGGTTTCTGAGCAGAATCAGGATACACTATCTCAAAGCGAGCATCACAGATGAATTCAAGAGATCTAATTATGACTGATATAATTCATCATCTGCAATTACTATGTAATATATGGCGTTTACCAACATAAACATAATAAGTTAAAATTATACTCAAGAACATATAAATTACTTTGAGTTGTTAGACATATCCGAATAGCATGAAGAAAAACTGTTAGATGCTAATAAGAAGGGTTATCTAGTCATATATATATATATATATCCGTCCTTGTTACCTTCATCGTTAAGGCGATGATTCGCCCTGATGATGGAGGTAGCAAGACCTTTGAAACGTCCCTAAACTTCCACCAGACTTATTCAAACTCGCCGCCGTGTAAACCTGAAATCCTGCATACGTGAGAGACCAAGTTTCGCACCCATAAAACAGTCGTTAAAAGCTGTAGCTCTGTACATTTCGACCTCTTGTGTGAGTTTATGTATATAACACTGGAAGAAGGTTTTTAAAAGAGTGGTAGCAAGAAATCTTCGAGATAAATTTTTTGTGAATTTCTTTGTGGATAGATGTTGTTGTTTTCAAATATTACAATTTTTTTTCACATTCTGAGGGGGATTTATAATTATTATTTTTACGATTTTTTTCCTGGAATCGTTTAATGAGTCATGAATTTTTCTTTATCAAGAGTTTTAAATGGTCGTATGTTACATGGTATTTATATTAACTGAAAACCTTCGACTGTTTCGCTTTTCATTGGTGTTTCGTTCAAAGCATTAAATTCTCAGAGGAAGGAACATTGCTTAATGTAACAGTTCAGAATGCTCCGGGCATTTTTCGTGTGCAGTAACAGCTGCATGTAGTTTCTGAACACAGAGCCCGTGATGTGATCGTGTAAGACTACACTCGCATCAGAAACGGTATCGAGAATATCTGGTTTATTTCCGTATTTTGTAACTTCGTGTCCGTATGTGTCTCACGCATATTCTTGTGAATATGCAAGGATAAAGTTTCAGACGATTTACAAAGAAAGTAGAGATAAGATAAGAGAGTGACTTGGTGTTGCAAAACGACCTGAGAGATATGAACGCACGTAGAAGCTGACAGTGAAAAACAAATAAAGACTAAAATGGGACCGGAGAAGTGTGACTTCTTGCCATGTCCCAGATTTCTTGCTTTTTTTTCCTAAAACGTTTTTGCAAGATTTTGTCGGCTGTAAAAATAACAATATCGTTTGAACCTGGGTTGCTAAACAAATGTAGCAGTTTTATAAAGCAACAAGAAACTTGGAAGCCTTTGGGATTTTTTTATGATTCTCAACTCTTATATATGGATCGTTTGACCGTTAAACTTTTGTTAAATGTTTGCTCTCGAAAATGTGTGCACTTTCGATGTTTGTAAGTCTGTTTTTCGCTATTGAAAGTGTTCGAGAACACGATGATAAGGAGAATATTTGTACCCAAGAGAGAAATGGTACAGTGAGGATCATCATATTTTGCATTATTCAAAATATTACGTGATTAAATTAAGGCACATGAGATAGCGGGGTTTATGTAACAGACATTAAAAAAATGGAAAACTTATACAAACGTTTTGTCATAAGACGTGAAATGAAGAGATCAGTTTGAAGACATAGGCTAAGATTAAAAATTATAAAAAAAAAATATTAAAATTTATGTTAAACACATAATTCGTGATCTTCTGGGCTGGATTCATTTGGCTACGGATAGGGACCAGTGGTGGGTTCCTGTAAACACAGTTTTGAAACCTCGTTTTCAAAGAGGCAGGGAATTTCTAGACGAGCTTAGTAACTACAAGCTTCTTAAGGAATTTGTTCCGTCGTTGCAGTGAGATAGCGTTCTCCGCCGTCATCTGACCGGTCATTGGAAATCCACACTTGACTAGCTGACCGGCTGTAGAAACTTACGGAAGCATGCATAATCCAATTAGACCCACGTCATTGACACCGCACCAACAGATCGCAATTAATGGCCAAGAGACGCAGCTGCATATTTGCTGATGGCTGTTCCTCTGATCTAAGTGAATATCCATGAGATTGTAGAAGCCTATGAATAATGCATGTTTCTGAGCCCATTTCTAACAAAGGAGACGTTTCCCTAGCAACACGAGACAAGCAGTTGCTTTAACTTTGCCGTAGCAACAAGGTGTTCTGCAGATTTTTGTTTCTTCTTGGAAAATCGTTTTTCATATCACTGATTTATTTATTTTGGGCTCTATATATCGAGTTTTTCTCAAAACGTCTTACAACTTTGAAAATTATTACGTTTCGAGGGTTGGATCTCTAGACGTCTTCAGACAGAAACGATTCAGACGCCTATTTTATTGGGTCTGATAGACGGAGCTAGTCTAGACCCGTGAAATATGACGGAATTTGTCACGAATGTTTAGAACATAGGAATGTAGAATTGGTGATTTAACCCATACTTTTCAAACAAGTCTAAACTAAGGAAGATGGCTATTTTATGGCTTGTAGCGCCGTGTAGTCTGGTAGAAGTTTACCGAAGTTTCAGAGATCATACTGCCTCCGTCATCAGGGCGATCCAGAAGACAGCCATCTTCGAATTTATCCATATTTTAACCAAGGTTTATTTCCATGTGTCTAATACACGGTGCTTAGACGCAAGGTAATTATGGCTTTATGTGTCCCGGTCATACACTCTCGCATATAAAGTGAAGAAGGTACTCCACCTTCGTGTCTGCCCATCGCTGGATTTTCATCTTGAGACACTGCTGTGTGCAAGGGTCGGTTTATAGACCATGAATTTAAATAAGAAATAATGATATATAGGGCGGTTTATGCTTCGAAATCATCGTCAGAGAATTTTATCACTCTGGAGTTTTAATTTACGTTGGTTAGATCCTTGTAACATCGCGCTGTGTCATTTTAAATGCAGAGCGGGAAACAGTACCTTGTGCCAAGTGGTAAGTCGTGAGGGATTTATCCACGACTACTTATTAGTGCACTGTATTTATATTAGCTCCGGAATACACAAAAATACAATTTACATGGTAGAAAATATTTATTTTAGAGTTGATATAAATTGAAGATTTATAGAAACCGAAGTTCCTTCTATATTTAAAAAAAAAACCGTCTGTCCTGAGCCCAATATACTTCACAACGTCACAGTTATTTTTAACTAAAATCATTTTGAATATTGTAATCTCATCTATGTCTTGGTTTTACGAAATTGTTTCTCTCCATATGAAAATGTATGCATTTTTTCCTTCTCGTATATTTGACATACGCCACAAAAATATTTCTTGCTTGAATCTATCATCATAACGATTTGTATGAAGATTAAAAATAAATCAAGGTCTTCGTTAATTAATTTCAACCACTCTTTCGGTGACCTACTGTTCCACTCCTAAGCCAGTTTTATCACTTTCATTGTTTTTTTAGCTAGCTTATCGGCCGAATTAAATATTTAGTAGTCCCTAAGAGTAAGAGATCGAGTATCGCATCCATACAAAGTAACAGATAAAATAATTTTTGAATTCAGCTTTCAGGGTTGAGAAGCGTCGATCGTTGAGAATTATCCAGCGTTTCGGCAAACGTCGTAGTTGCCATCTTCAGGGTGATTGTGTAGTGGTTGGGCATTTGTGGAAGCTTTATGTAGGATAGCTGAATTATTAAATTTGATAATGCGAATGGTGCAAGACCACATTTGAGGAATTCTGACTATGGAAACTGCGAAGTTTGCCGTAAAGATGGATAATTGTCAAAATTCGATGCTTATGAATGCTGATATCCGAAGTTATCCATTGAACCCAAGGACAAGAAACATACAGTTGTCTTATATTTGGTCTAATTTTAGAAGGGAGATAGTTAGATGGAAAATGTGTGTCTTGTATTTAATTTGTTCTTAATTTCTCCGTGAATGGCAAGTTGATTTATTGCTATCATTATCAGGTTGTTGAAATATGCCATTTTACCAGAGTTTCGTATTAAGAAGTTTAACGGCGAACCTTACCCACAGTCCCAATTATGCCCTTCAGGATGAACTCCCGTCGCTTTTACCATAAATTAAAATCGTGTATATGGGTTGTATTGTCTTCAACATTTTGTGTGTTAAATATTTGAAAATAAATTCAGTTTAGAAATTGTTCTTTAACTTAAATCCACATCACATTCAATTGTAATATAAAGTGGTTGTGGGGGGGGAGGGGATTACGTTTAAAACATGAGGAGCCTCATTGTTTATATTATTTTTCAAAAAAAAAAAAAAACGATAACCGTTTGTTTTGACAGACATTTCGTAAAGTGACTGCATCCATTACTGGTTTCCATAGCAACGTCCGGACCAGTGAGCAACATAAACAATATTATTCACGTAGTGAGGAAAATGGCGGGAGCCGTGAAAATAAATCGGTTTTCTACTCCTTGGGGAAATTATATAGTAGTAACACCCGGTGCTATTACAAGCAAGATCCAAAAACTTTTATTGTTTCCTGGTTTATTTTACAAAGCTTTTCCAGCTCTTTCTGTTATGTTGCGTTGAAGGACAGAAAGATTTAGTGAACCACGAATTATATGATGCTTTAATGTTTTAGCAGCAGTGGCTGACAAACTCCATAGAATACAGTCCTAGTTGGACTTCAACCTTTATGGAGGCGACATAATCTTCCGAAACGCTGGTATTACCTACAACTGCAGGAGGCGTTACTATCCATAAGAATAATATTGGTATCTCAAATGTTGTGAACGTCAGCTTTTTAAATCGGTCTAACGGTGATGCGTATGACCGTCCAGTAATTTCGAGTGCGCCGTGCTATAGCGGCAACTTCTCCGACAATAGTGCGTGGCTGGCGACAAACTCTCTTGGCGATACGTAATGTCAGCGCATCGAGTTATAGCAACAGACTGCATGCTTCAAGGTCACATCGAAAAGCCGGTGGGGGCCCAGGGAACTTGAACCCTGCCAAAGTTAGCAACGTTCTACTGGCAAGTTCGAGCCAGGTGATAAGGGGGGCGAGGTCCTTTCGTTGCCTCCAAGCATGCAATTTGGTGACGATTACTATAAGTGGCTCGGCTACTGTAGGCTACTGGCACAGCTACTTGAGGATTTATATGACTTCGAGATGACCCCCAGTGGGATGAAATTCGCACCGAGCGTTATCGTGTACAGGCAGATATTGTTGGCAGTAAATTGTTTGTTTTACAGCGGTTGTGACACTACAATAACATTTTAAAATCGGTCTCTTTACTGCTTCATATTTGGACAATATCAGATTATTTTAAATTTTAAATTTTAAATTAGCATTTATTACTAAAATTAAGTACTGTATCACAATCAACAGCAATAAAACACAACTTAAACTACTCTTTGTCTCTTATTTTTAACAAAAATTAAAAAACCCAACTTTCCATATTTCTGTCAGATGTTGCTGGCGTCCTATACCCGTATTGACAAAATTGCTTTCGTTCGGTTTTCAGGCATTATGGGTTTATCCAAATATTACGAACATTTATTTTTATACCATTGTATTGTATTTTATTGTATTGATATCTCTTATTGTTAGTTCTTTTATAATATCTTTATTACATTCATCTTTCGTAATTCTGTCTCTGCCTTTCTCCATTGTTCTTTTGTTAACGTCCAACATCTGATCAATAAGAAAGCACGGATTCCTCTACAGAATTTTAGTAATGTTTTCTTTGGTATTTTCTTGGTAATGTGCGTTTTGTAGTTATATATATATATATTATTATTATAATTTCTTAAATGTTTCACGAAGAACAGAGCTTGGGTTTTATAACAGCAGTCTTGTCTGGAAATCAGCCCGGTCGTAACATTCAAACGTTTGTGGTAAAACGGTTTCGAAATAGTCGATCCGATGTGATCGTGCCTGGATACAATACTGATACTGCGCTCCGACGATCATATATTTAGTGAAAATGGACGTAGACCTTGAAGGGAATTTTATTTTTCCTTTTGTATGTTGTAAACCCTCGGTATAACAGTGCCTTTGACTTGAATAACGTGGCTTCTTGCTGTGGGAGTTGTGGTTCTAAATGGATCATAACCTAAAGGTCCAGGCAATCGGTCAGGTGGTAGTAAAATGTGGACGATCCCTTCCCAAGGCATCTTCAGTTTATAGTAGTGGAAAAGAGAGACAGACCGTACTTTTATACTTTGCCTGGAAAACTGGATGGTTACTTTCATCTGATCAGATTGAACGGAAAAAAAAATGATGACATGTTATCTTGTATTCTCCACTTACAACGTGAATGAGTGAGTTGAGTGTCTTTGGAATTTAAGTATAGAATTTTTGGCGATTTCCCACTGAGACTCCGTAACAAATCAAAATGATATTCAGTAGGAAATTAGCAGGAAACTAACTTCCGGAAGTACGTTCTACTTTTCACTTCAAAATATTTTGCCTGATTTCTAAGAACCTGAAGATTAAAATATATAAAACAATAATATTGCCTGTTGTTTATTATGAGTGCGAAACATGGTCTCTCACTCTGAGGGAAGAACACAGATTACAGGTGTTTGTGACCTCAAATGGTTTAAATTTCAAAACAAGTTTTGAGAAAATATTTTAGCTTGAATTGAAGAAGGACGCAGTTATCAAATGAGCTCGTAAGAGTGCTTCATTACTAACGGAAGAAAGTAGGCTATAAATTGAGATATTAGAAAGAATTAGACGTAGATGCAATAAATGAAAAAAACAGATGAATATAAAGAAAAATTTATCGTGCAGATAGTGAAAGACAGAAGATTGCAGAAATTATCCCCGAATTGTTAACAAAACTTGAAAATAAATCCAATACAACCAAGAAAAAGATCTAGAAGCCACAGTCGACAGTCTAGTGCTCAGTAACAAATAATTATGTGTTGGTTTTATTATGATCCTTCATTTGTTTTTAACGTCATAAATGTAGTTCTGTTCTACACCGTCAATACTGAGGAATTTATTAAATGTTATTACAGAGTCTTTCAGTGCCAAACTTTTTATGAGTCGGTCCTCGCTTCTTTGTCAAGTTTGAGAAGCTTCAAGTTTTCGTTGGGGGAAATGTTTGTCTATTTCTGCAGCAGGTGGTGTCTCGAGACGCTTCAATATAGCAAATGGTCGCATCGATTCCAATAGCAACTGTCCGCACTTTTTCTGATCCGGAGTAAGAACTGAATTACAAGCTTGGATAAACACCTTGTCCCGTTCGGAACAGGGGAATTTGTTATTCGGACCAACAAATCAGTATTAAATTATCATATTCTGAAATTTTAATGTCTTCAAGAAAAATTAAGTCCCTGATGGAGAAGTTTTGTTCAGCAGTTCACAGTTACTTAACTAAGTTCTCAATAGGCATAGGATCTTCTATGAAAACTTAACAGTTATAAAGCTAAATTTTTATAGAAATCGAAGATTCGTTACCGTGTAATTGGATATTATACCCATTCATGAGTCACATGAATCTTATTCACCCCTTCGTAGTCTGTTTTTTCTAATATTTCTACCATTTTCTTTCGTCTATGATTTGTTCTATCATTTTGTATTTTCTTTTTATGTTTTCCGGAAAAAATCTGTGTGCATTTCTTATTAATATGTCCCTCGCTTTTCATCCTCCCAGATTCCATCGTCCTAAGACTTTTCGATGAAGCAACTCATCGCAAACAATAAATAAATAAATTCTGACAATAACAATATTCTTCTGAAGGACCACGGTATATCTCTTCGCCTGGCATACGCCTTCATGCCTCCTTGGCAAGAAACACTTCCAAGTCTTCAGTGAACAAACAGGTCGTCAATATCGACCCAGCCTGTGAAGCTGAAGCAGGTATGAATGCCTGCACCATGAAGTGCAAAAAAAAGATGATTCGTGGAACGGAATAAACCTTGGAAACTTTCAAACTCTCTGTATATTGAATTTTCACACCAGAATGAATCTGAGGCCAAACGTTCCTTGTATGTCTACAAATGCTCATACATGAAGACTCACAAGTACTGCGTGGTTCAGCGGCTGTTGAAAAAGTGCTCATATTTATATAAGTTATTGGGAAATATTTCTCGGTGGGTCGGTAAATGTGATTTACAAGTGACTAACGAATTAATTATTATCCTAAAATAAGAGCCATTCTTTAGAAGACGTTCAAGATGTGTCCTAGTCTTCTGTGGTACCCAAAGGTTCCTTACTGTGGTCATAAGAACTCGCAGTTGGGCTCCATCCTGAGATTTACAAGGACCAGGACTAATAACATTTCAACAACTATTTTTAAATTTAAAAACCCCCACTCAGTCAAAAAAGTATCGTAATGTTAATATCTCAGTCCAGTCTGAAGACAACTAAAAGGGAGTGTCCCACAGGAACCAGTAGGTATTATACATCGCGTTCAACTGTCATGTCAAAATTGTGTTCTGTGACTTGACTCTGTTACCATTACGCTAATTTAATGTATAATGCTTGCAGGTGCTGTTGACATTGAGGGGAAATGTATGGCAGAAGGGTTGATAAGCTTCATAATTTGTACTCAACCGAATGTTACTATAGTTACTAATCAAGGACGATGAGATAAATGATGCATGTAGCACGCGTTTGAGACAACAGAAATTCAAGCAAAATTTTTTACTTTAAAGTGAAGCTTTCGCGGTGATTGAAGTTGATGAAAGACTCTCGGGTTACAAGCCTCGTCAGGTGGCTGAATGGTGAATAAACCGTATATTTTGTCAACGTTTCGAGAACAGTCTCTGTTCTCATCCTCAGGGCTGCTGGGTTGCCATCAGCTAGCGCGTAACAGAGAAACGAACTGGTTACACAGTAGATCTGAGGATGAGAGCAGAGATTGCTCTCGAAACGTTAGCTGAAGATATGGTTTATTCGCCTTACAGTCACCTGACGCAGCTTGTAACCTGGGAATCTTTCATCAAAATTTTTATTGGAGAATCTGAACGGGACAACCACTTATTATTCTTAAATGTAGATAAGACGATAAAATTAAAATTGACCTTAAAGAAGTGGATGGAACAATGTGGACTAGATTTATTTTGCCCAAAATAGGGGCCAGTAACGAACCCTTGTTAACACGGTGTTAAAAACCGAATTCCATAAATATAAAAGTCAGGACCCTTCTTGATCAGCTCAACAACTATTAGCTTCTCAAGGACTCTGTTGCAATTACTTAGTTGTGCTTATGATCTTAGTTGCGTATAGAAAACATAATCGCTTCAAATCCATTGAATAATATAATTTAAAGAATACAATATAAAAATTCACTCTTCTGCCGCTTGGTCGCTGGGACAGTGGGTTCGAATCCCACTCAGGCCATGGATGTTGTGTCGTGCTGTCCTGTGTACAGGTAGAGGCCTGGCGACGGGCCGATCCCCCGTCAAAGGAGTCCTACCGAATGTCTATAGATCAAGTCAACTAAAATGTTGGGACTCGCAGTGCTCAGGCACTTGAAGAACGGGTCGATCCCAGTATCCCAGTCTACTATAAAAATTTACACCATAAAAATAATTGTTTTTCGAATAAATTAATCATAAAAGCAAAAACTATTTTAACAAATAAAGTACGTA